ATCGTAATTTACGACAAAGGGCGGGTAAACGGTTGAACTATCTATTACTCCCCTGGGCCACGCTGGGTTCCCAAGCTGGTATACTGTATATAGCTTGATGTCTATTAATGTCTAAAGTAGTGAAATATAAATATATCCCTGAGATGGAGGATATAACAATATAACAATATGTGCAACGTCAGCAAGTATCAGTCCTGTATACTTCTATTTTATAGAACTTATAAAGTCAGAAAAGTAATATTTCTTTTTAGGAATAGCGTCCGATTAACAATGATACCTTTTAAACCTGAATATGCATGCGATGCATATTCAGGAATTGATTTATATTTGAATTCTGAAATTTTCATTCATATGGATATAGCTATAAATAGTTCATCCTTGATTAGACAAACTTACATGGTTGCCAAGACCTGAGAATTTCTCAGGAATTTTCGGAGAAGTATTCCGGAGAAATTCTCAGGAATTTCTTGGGGTGAAATTCCGGAGAAATTACGAGGAATTTCTCGAAACTAATTCTCTTACTTAATTCCCCTAAAAATCCGCAAACATGGTGACCCAGACCTAAGAATTTCTCAGGAATTTCCGGAAAAGTATTCCTGAAAATTTCTCAGGAATTTCTTGGGGTGAAATTCCGGAGAAATTTCCAGGAATTTCTCGAAACTAATTCTCTTATTTAATTCCCCTAAAAATCCGCAAACATGGTGACCAAGTCCTAAGAATTTCTCAGGAATTTCCGGAGAAGTATTCCGGAGAAATTCTCAGGAATTTCTTGGGGTGAAATTCCGGAGAAATTCCCAGTAATTCAAGTAAGTAATTATTTACTTTACAGCAGAAGTACCCGGCATTGCCCAGGTTCTATAGTCTATAGTTTTCCTACCAGTTACCTTCGCCTGGTATTAAATCACGATTTTAGCTGATTTGCCCTGCATTGGTATTGGAATTTCCTAAATTTCCTAAATTTGTTTAGTCTCTTTACCTCCGGGTGCCCAAGGCATCGGTAAAAAAAATTTCACAAATTTGATATCGCCGTTTGGTCAACCATAACAAGAATGTATATATATATATTTACCCATGGAGTTTTTAAAAAATTCTACTTTTTTTAGCGTATGTCACCCCAGGGTACCCAAAGGTTTCCTAAGAAATTGTTCCAATTTGGTCTAGCCGTTAGGCGAGCAATTTAAATTGCACCCCGCGACCGGCGGGTTTCCCGACGCTCTTGCACCCTATCTAGCTATATTATGATTTGAGATTTTATCGTATCATCTATATATATATATGAGCGAAGAGCTTTATTCTATAGAAGATAACAGAAAAAAAGAGGAAGTACTTAAAACCCCAAAATTAGGTTGTTGGAATTATTTCCCCAATTCTAAAACAGATGAACAAGAAAGGAAAGGGCAAGGAAAGTTAAACATTTTTTGTTTTGATTTTCAAACTAATGCGTGTTGGGTTGCTAGTATTTTTCGACAATGAACTCACGATTTATAGAAATAAGAATTGTAGATTTTTTACAAACATTGCAAAAGGTAAATTAGCTTTTTATAACATTGCAATAGAAATCCGCTCTTTGATCTTTTTTCCCTTTTCTAAGTTTAATCGAGAAAAGTCTTTTGAGCAATGAAATACTCCATTTATATCTATTTTATGTTTAAAGTTAGCTATACATTACCCCTATCTAATACTTTTACCAGACAAACCATAGAGTAAAGAACTTAACCAGAGAGTCCCTATATATGTAGATAACTCATTATATGAGACTTTTAATGAGAAATATTTTGTATTTATCTTTTTAACTTAGTAATTTCTGTTTTTTCCCAAAGGTTTGTTTAGCTTTAGTCACCCTTGTGGCACCCAGTTGTTAACGTCATGTATCTTTTTTTTTTGAAGATAAAAATCTTCTTGTTCTGTTAGATCCAGCTAATCCAAACTGTTTGAGAAATTGAAGCTTGGATTTTATTGATCTAGCAGAGCTTGTATCTGACATAATTCCATCATTAATCATACTTCATACATCAATATCTTCCTCCGCCAGCATTATTGAATATATATTGAATATATAGGTTGATGGATGAATAGGATTATATTGCCAAATTAATTATCTTCACATTCAGATCATCACCTTAATCTAAAGAAGGAGTCGGAGAAGAAATCATCATTATTGGAGTACTATCGGAGACCCCCCCCCCCCCCCCATGAAATACCACTTTCATTGGAGTCCCCTACTGATTTACGTTGTAGGCCTCAAGAATTTCATTAATTGGATATTCCCAGTTTTCAGTGGAGACCCCCAAATTTTCATGAGGGTTGTTCCCTTCATTAATTTTAATGGGAGACCTCCAGATTTACGCTTTTTAAATTAAACTATGGATTTTCCAGAAAAAAATCGGGGGGTTTCAGGTAGGGTTTCCACCGGAATTCCGGGTTACAGATTACGTACGGAAATGATCCGGAAATTTGTTTCTTTTCCAATATGGAAAAGGTTCCGGAATTCCGGAACGATTTTTTCCGTGAACCGGAACGTTGTTTCGGAATTACGGAACGTTCGGGAATATTGTTCCGGAAAATTCCGGTTTACGGAAAAATCGTTCCGGAATATTCCGGAAAAGGTTCCGGAAAAACGTTAAAGAGATCTTAAACTAATGTAAAAGATAAAACCAGTAAGTAATAATATCTAAATAATAATAGAATATGCGCCTTGTTTAGCTGTAGTTAAAGTTATATTACTTTGAATTATCATGATATTTAAATCCTGAGATTCCTGATTGTCATGTTTCAAAATAATTTCATCTACAGAAAGCTGTGGAAAGGAAGACGAGATATATAGCAATCCTTAAGTCTATTTGATGTTGTCACAAAGCAAATAGGTTAAATAGTAACTTATAAAATCACTTTTAAATTGGTCTGTCTATACTTTGATGTTGTCACAAAGCAAATAGGTTAAATAGTAACTTATAAAATCACTTTTAAATTGGTCTGTATACAGTATAGTATACATTACGTAATTTCCGTGTCTCATGTTTGACCCAGTTTTAGTTGCCAGATTTTGATAATTTTTAGCTTTTTGGAAAGCCTATTATCATAGATAAAGATAGATTGCGCATAAGACGACATTTTTCATCTTGAAAGATATAAATGTCCAGAGATGTTTTAAAGATTTTCCTATTATATAGATTAACTAGGTCGGTTGTGAACATTGGCTGTTCTTATGTCATTGAGTACTTGTGGTGTACATGAGTTCTGTAGAGGGAAATTTAAGTTAGTTTAGTCCTTCTCATGTTCTTCTTCAGTTCTCGTCAATATGATATATTGCTCAGTGAAATATTGTTGTTAAAATAGTTCCATTCACCGAGTTATTTTACACTCTTTTCGGGAGGAATGGTTAAACCTAGTATATTGGAAATGACCCAAACCACCCCGCTTATCATTGAAGTATACTATGACACCTAGAAGTATGAGTTCGCGGACTGTACAATTCTTGGGGATTTTGCATTATACATAGGGAAACGGATTGCCGAAGTTTTGCTACGAAATTTTTGCAAAATATTTGCATACAACCCGTCAACAGAAGTTTGCACGTTTTTAGTTTTTCTTAATTACACAACGGTTATCAAAAATTTGGAAATTTTTTTGCATATTTGAAATGTATATTTTATCATTTTTGGAAATTTCTTTTTTGCAAATTTGCAATTTTTGCAGATTCTAAAAGTACAGCATTTAAGAGCCTTCCAATAACGTATCATTTTTCATATTTGGACCTAAAAAATGGGATTAAGACTGGGAAGGGGGGTTAAATTGACCCCCCTGCATATCCCATGATTTTCAAGTACCCCAGCAGGGATAGGGTTAACTATTACAAAATAAACGGTTTTTATCGTCAATGGAAAATTTTGGTAATTTCAAAAACTTAATTGCTGCTCGTTAAGAAAACGTTGCTCAGCCCTAGTCTCCAGTGTAAATGTAGAGTGGTCTCCAGTGTAAATGTAGAGGGGTCTCCAGTGTAAATGTAGAGGGGTCTCCAGTGTAAATGTAAAGGGGTCTCCAATAAAATATTTGGGGTCTCGGATTAGATATCAATACAAAATTTCGTCATTTAGTAAATACAACTTTTTTAAATGCTAATTTGGAGTACTTCCAGCGTTAGCAACCCCCCTTATTAGATTTGTGGATTTGTGATAGTACACAAGGGAGGGGGTGCAGGGCCGCCGTGAGCCCCGCGAAATGGTATCCAAGTCTCCGTATTCGCAGATGCGTATTTAAAATCACCCTTAAATGTTAGAATAGATATTATAAAAAGTAATAAAGAAAATTTTTAAAGAAAATAATTAATTATGTAGTGTTTCTTGAATAACCAAAAACTATTTAAAATTAAATATTTTTTCGAAACATTTTTTATACATTACTTCTGTAATATCTATTCTAAAGGATAGGGGCCGGTAGTGCCAGGTTTTTTTTTTAATACTCATCTGCGAAACCAGAAGCTTGGAGACCATATCGCGGGGCTCATGGCATCCATGCACCCCCTACCAAAGCACACTAGATAATTTTCTCAATATGTATTTTTTCTTTCAGAAAAGAAAAATTTTCCTCAAAAAAAGAACAAAAATATTTGATGAGAAAAAGGTGACAAAATTACATCAAGATGTTTTCGAAGCAATTCATTCAAAACTTTTCTTTGTTTGTAATTTATTGTTTAAAGTTTGGGAGAAATATATTGCCTGAAAGATAGGTCAGAGGACCTGACAGATATAAATCTTTTAAAGTGTTTCTTTTATCCGAAAATACCTCTTGGGGCCCTTAATTCAATTAAAACTATTTTTTAAGCTCAAATTCTCTTTTTTTTATCAAATGAAAATGAAATCAAGTGTAAAAAAACCTTTTGATTGTTAAAACTAAAAATTTTTCTACCCAGACTTTTAACGAGTAACGAGTTCCACAATCAAAATTTGAAGTAAATCGGTGACGGGGTTCATGAGTTCTGATCAGAAATACAAACATCCTAATCAAACAAACATAGACAAGCATATATTTAGATTAGCATCTTAGTAAACATTTTTCATATTCAGTAAGCATAAAATTAACCTACGGCACGGATGAGTGACGAACTAGCTGTACGTATCACTTGTATGGACAATAAACATTCATCATAATTTGTACGTTAAGACCAGCATTGTTTTACCATTGATAACATTTTCCATTTACAGGGTGTACCAAGGAGAATGTGTTGATTATTATTTCAAGAATCATACATGTAAAAGTAGGTTGACAGTTTAATACCTCAAATAATTTAAAGTCTCAAAGAAGACTTTCAAATGTCGTCGGTCTCCTGTCTAGTTTCGTGGGACAACCTGTACTGAAAGCTATTTCTTTGAATTTATTTTTTGAAAACTGCAGAAATATTTTCATATGTAACATCTGTTTGAAAAATCTATCAGTGTACTGGATTGCATTCAGATTTAGTCTTGGTTGCGCAGGTGTCATGAAAGTCCAGTTTACAGACTTTGCAATGCATTCCCTAAAATCAAAATAAATTTATTTCCAGGTGTTCCCCTTCCCCCCCCCCCTAAAACGTACTTGAAATAAAAATTATGCAATGTAATGCATTGCAAAGTTTTGCCTCAAACTCTAATTTACTTATCTTTTTATATTTTTAATTTCAAAATGACCTAGATATTATAAACGTGTACTATTTGAGCTATAGCTGACTATATCTAAGGTATACAACATAAGGTTGCAGGGAAGGATTACAATAATAGAATTTGAGGCAAGTAATTAAGTACTGAATTGTTCGATGTACAATGGCATCCTTAATACACCTCCTTTCTGAGTGACAACTGATGTGACCACAAGTCACTTTTACAGAGAAGCCAAAATCGAATAAAATCAATTTTCAGCTAGTAAAAGATATCTCAATCATCCAAGATCAGACAGAAGATAAAAGGATACCTTTGAGAGTCGAATTTCTCCTTTTTAGTAAATAGTTAAATAAACAAATATTGATATATGTTGAAAAACATAATTACTAATGCTGGTTCAAGCTTCTACCTGCCTAATCAGCCCAAGAAGCATCTGTTTACAGAATGCACACCAAGTAGGCATCTGGATATATAAGGTATAGTGAAAACAAGTTCTGGAAAAGAAATTTCAAAGGAACAATTTCAGGAAATACAATTCACAAAGAAAGAAATTGAGTTTTGCCACAAACTCCGATTTTCTAATCCCTTTATCTTTCCAACCCGAATTCGAAGACCTTTGATATTTTAAACTATATAATTTTGCGAGCTAAAATGGTCTAGGTTTGAAATATCAAAGGTTTACATCGTCAGATTTCAAAGATATCAAAGGGATTTTAAAATTTGAGTTTGTGGCAAAAACTCAATTTCTTTAATCTTGTCTTTGTTTTTTTTCCAAAAAAAATATCTTTGAAGCTTGCTTTTTTCATATTTTAATTCTTCGGAGTTTAACATATTGTGCTATTTTTGATGCATCTAGCAGGGGGGTGTCAGCGTAAAAGTGACCCTCCATACAAAGATGGCAATGCCCGATTTACAACGGTATCAATAAAATCTCTGTCTGTACGTTCATGATAAAGTATATTTTGATATCCATGTTTTCTTCCTTCTGTTAAATTTTATTTGCCGTTTCTCTGTAAAAGTCGCTTGTGAACTTCTGGCTTATAAGAAACATTGGAGAAATTTAAAATTTTACTCTTTTTGAGTCAGGAAAACTATGATATTTTCGACATTTTAGATCGTATTAACCCTATTCCTGCTAGGGGGTGGGGAGGTCAATTTGAACCCCCCCCCCCGTGTGGTTTTTTACATAACTTAAAAAGTATTGGTCTTAGGCTGTTGAAATTTTCTGACTTTTCCTAAATACCCAAAGCCCTCCCTTTAGGCCTCTAACCGGGCTTTATACTAATTGCCTGAGTCATCAGGAACACTGCCTGAATGACTGCTTTTTCCTGTAACAAACTAAATCTTTGTTTTGACCCACTTTTAGTTGTCGGATTTTGATATTTTTTAGCTTTTTGGAAAGCCTATTGCATAAGAAAACGGATTGCACGAGTTCTGCAAAGAAATTTTTTCAAATTATTTGCCAACAATACGTTAACAGAAGTTTGCACATTTTTACTTTTTCTTAATTACACATCAGGTTATTTAAAATTTTACAAAATTTTGCATATTTGAAATGGCATGGTCAAGGGCTTTTCAAAAATGTATTCTTTTTTATTTTTTGGACATTTCCTTTTTGCAAACATTTGTACTTTATAAATGGAGTTTGCAAGCAAAAATTCAATTTTAGCAAATTCGCAATTTTTTTGCAGATTCTACAAGTACAGCATAAGCGTCTTCCAATGATGTATCATTTGTGAATTTGCAAACAACCCATCAAAAGAAATTTGCACATTTTTAGTTTTTCTTAATTACACATCAGGTTATTTAAAATTTTGCATATTTGAAATGGCATGGCATGGTAATTTATCATTTTTTGGACAATTTTTGTTCTAAACTTTTTTACTTTGTAACTAGATTTTGCAAAAAAAATTTCAATTTTTGCAAATTTGCATATTTTTTTTGCAGATTCTAAAAGGAGAGCACAAGAGCTTTGGATTTAAAGACATAGGGTTAGCCCAAATTTTACTCATTTAACCAAAAATTCNACTGGGACACCCCTCTATATCCTTATTGTGATACAAATATATAACATTTAAAACAGTTTTGGAAACCCCTTGGGCTGTACTTTGATAATCTGCAAAAAAAATCGAAAATTTCAAAGAAAAAATGTGAAAAAAAGTGCGCGAACTAAGATATTTTCAAAAGACTTTGACCCAACGAATTTAAATATACAAAAAAAAATTGCAAAAACTAAATGTGTATACATGACAAACTGAAAACGTGCGAAAATCTTCGCAAAATTTCTTTGCAGAAACTGTGCAATCTGTTTCCTTTTGTTAAAGCCCTGCAGGTGTTAGCTGTAAATGGGAACAGTAAGGGAATTTCGGGTTTACGATTTACTTAAATTACGCTTACAGTCCCTTTAACTAGAACTTGATTTAAAAACCTGTATGTTTTATTTTTTTTCGTTAGTAGGGCCTGGGGAGGGGCGTTTTCATAATTTATTCATTTATCATAAATACTTGGCTTTGCAAAAGTAGAAAAATAATCCGATTTGGAAAATAATTTTGAAGAACCAATGCTGGTTTAACAGCTAATGAATATATGGAAACATTTTTGATTCCTAGATAGTTATAGTTTAACTTAAACTTTGATATTACCATATATTGACGAATAACTAATTCATGTCGGCGACTGCGACTTTCCATTTTGTTATCCATTTTAGCTGTCAAACAACCTAAAAATAGAAAAATATCAAAAGCCCATAACTGAGAATCTAAATGATTATAAGATGAAATTCTCACCCTGATTTGACAGTTCTGCACTGGTCTCAGCAAGCTGTGACTTTCTATCCCTATTTGACCTATTTACCAGAAATCTGTTGCTTATTCTCTATCATACTTTGATGTCGGTGGATGCGCTGTAAATGAAAAAGAATAAAAAGGAGAACTCGCAAGTTGAATTGACTGCTTTAAGACCGAAACGTAATTGAATTGAAATTGAAGAAAACAAGCACAAATTGCCCTGGTTAGTCCACAGTGTGGCAGTATTATGTAATACGGGGACTGGGGGGAAAAGTGTAAAAGCCTAGTTCAAGTTCAAGTGTAAACCAGTTTTAAAGGGACTATCAGCGTAATATCCTCCATTTTAAAGAGTTGCTTGTATAGTATACTAAATATTAAACTAGTTTGCTAGAGGGTTGTTTGCGGGATCCCCATAAAATTTAACAAAACTTTAATGATATAATAACTAGGATTGATATCTCAAACACGACACTCTATAACAGTTTCTATATCTTGTCAAGCCCTTGAGTTTTTTTCATAATCTTTAAAAAATTGTTTTGCAAAAATCCAGTTGTTAAGACAAAGTTTAGCAAAAACTAAAATTGTGCAATATTAACAAATCGTACATTTCTGAAAAGTTTTTTACCCAGCAAAACTTGTGCATAGTCACAAGCTTTTCAAAGAGCTTCATATATATATGGTTAGATACGGTTAAATTTACTTTATCCTGGAAATTTTAAAACAAATACTGGCCTTTGAAAAGTCTTTGATGTGTCTTTTTAGTCTTGCAGGGGCCCGCAAACTACACTATTTTGCATACTTCATGATAAGATAAGCACATGATTCATATTAGATAAGTAAAAGCCATAAAATTAAAATTAAGAACTCCAGCAATTTTCCAAAAATAATATTTTTAATTCTTTTTGAATTATACACGATGATAAGGAAGACATATTTTTACTGTATTTCACCTGAATTACGATGAAAAGGAGAACCATTTTTATCTTATCAAGAATATAATATAATATATAATAGAATATAAATCTTTTATTTCATTTTTAAACACGGGGGTTTTCCTTGATAACAAATAACATAAGGGTTCCCCTTAAGTTAAAAAACAAAAACAAAATGTTACTAACTGAGGGAAACTAAATAAAATTTTTTTCTTAGTTGCGTATTTTCTAAAAAAAAAGTTGAGAAATCCTTTAAAATGTAAAACCTAAATTTTAATTTAATACTTCCTTTATGGGAAAAAATTCCGTTTTTCCTTCATTGGAAAGTTGCCACTTGGAAGATTGTCATTTAGGAAAATGTACACTTGGGAAGTTGCCACTTGGGATATTGTCACTTGGGAAGTTACCCTTGGGAAAATGCCTTTGGGAAAGTACCTAACACCATAAAAGGTGCCTCCTCACAACCTTGACCTGATTAACAATATTGAAGATCTTTTAAAGGCTTATTACAATTATAAATAATTAATTTTTAAATTGAATCGGACACACCCATCTGTAAAAAGAAGAGCCCTTTGAATTACGTCTCAAAATTCCTTTAAATAGTTTGCTTGGGTTATAACAGTGGCATAATAAACATTAATTAGAAATAAATCTCTCTCGGGCATTTCAAACTGCAAAAGTAGAATGAGAAGCAGGAAATAGGAATAAAGGCATGAGAAAGCCAGTCGCACTGCTTTGCAGACGAGTTCGGTATTACACACGCACAGTCTTCTGGTACAGACACTCACGCATGACGTTTCCGCCCCTGCAGATGAGAAGTGCTATGCTTTTTACATGAATCGGAAAATTCATTAAAATCCAGTTTTAATAGATTTAGGGTGTCCACGAAATGACCATGTTTTTTGCGCAAAATTTTCTCGCAAACTGTTTTTTTGGCAATCTTTTGCGCAATTAGCGCAAAGTTTTGCACAAAACGTAAATTTATATTTTAAACGTGTAAATATAAGAGTAATTATAAAACTTTATAAATCTAAAACTTTCAGAATTTTGAAGAATCAAAACTTTAAACTTTGTTTTAAATTAATTTTTGGTAAATTTATCATCCTTTGAAAGGATTCCTATTTCCTTTCTAACAGGATGCAGCTCTCACTTAAAAGGGATTGTTATAAATCAGGCATTTTCCTCTTCGCATGGAGGGTCACTTGAAATCATGTTTACAGTCCATTCTAGAAATGAAAATAGTATGAATGTGATGAAACAAAAGATCCTTTTTTGCATTAATTGTACATAGTATAACCTTTTCAGAAAATAAAGTTTTGAAAAGCAATAAATATTTACAACTGTTTTCTTATCTTTGCTGTCTAACTCTATTGAAGATTTAAATCTTAACAAAAAAAGTAAATATATTTTAGAGTCTTATTTTTAAGATTAAGATTTATAAATAACATACTAGCAGAAATGCCCGGTGTTGCCCATAAAATTTCGAAAAATTCTAAATTTTTTATCTTTTGTCGCCCCGGGTATCCCTTAAAATTGTCAGCCAATTTGGTCCAGTCGGTTGGTTGAAAATTCAATTTTGAGTTTTGGACATCTTTAAAGCAATTTTTTAATTTCTAAAAGGCTTAAAGTTCTTTTAAAAACAAGTATGCCCATTGTATAATCTATAGAAAGGGTAGATACAAGAGGGGCACGCACTACATCAGGTTTCCAGCGGAAGCAAACTTTCGATCAAACTGCGCAAATTTGCTTGCGTATTCCGCAAACTTTTGTGGAAGCAAGCGCAAACGATGTGCAATTCCGCGCAATAAAAAATTCGTGAGTTACCAATACCATCCAGCATTAAAAGTTTTATTATATTTTATATTAAATAATGTGCATTTTTTCCTACGTAAGAAAATCGCAATAATGCGGAATTTGCGGTTGAACGATTTTTTCCATCCCCCAGGAAAGCCTAGCACTAATTTTACTATTTTCATAAATACAGTTTTTTCTATAATAGATATCTATACATAAAAGAAGGAGAAGCTAATGATACACTATAATTTTATTTTTATAAAAAATAACTTTTGAACTTAAATGTGATATATAATAAACTTCAAATCATATATATATATATATTTTTCATCCTGCATATAAGTTCAAATTTGCTTTATTAGAACCAGTACAAGGATTGCACGGTGAAGTGTGTGCTTGTACCAGCTCATCTAGTGTACCCAGTATGTGGTTGATCCAGCACGTTTTTTGCAACAGAATTAGGCAGGCGGAACTAAAGGGATAATGTAACCAACCTTTTCCTGTAAACTTTATATATAATGTTTAGGGAGTTCAAAGTACGCTTTTTTAATAAAGAATAATAAAATATTAATCTTAACAAATGTCAATCATGGTTGGAATCAATCATCCATACATAGCAACTCTGCCTGATGTTTACATAAACTAAAACTCCTATTTGTAAAAATCACAAACGAATGCAAAAAACTCTTTAAAATTGATATTTGTGCTTTTATGATAAAATTGTTGAAATGCCTTTATATGTTTGTATTTTTGTGAACATCCTGTGTACTGTGTGTGCATTTTTGACGTATAGGCTCAAGGGTAAGAAGCTACACCTTGAAAACTAACTTTGGAGTCTTGAAAAGATGATATCAGAGTTGAAGCCGACACTTGCCCAGCTCCAGAGTTCACAAATCAACTCTGTACCAACAAAAAGGGTATTTTATTGATGCTAAACAGCTATCCAAATACAGGATTCTATCTTAATGAGCTTCTAGCTTCTCCCCTACAGCAGCATCTTTCAACAGTCCTGAACCGGACAGCTCCAGGATCTAGGTCGATTCATCTATACTAGCTTCTAGCAGCTCCCCTACAGCAATATCCTTCAACAGTTCTGCACCAGAGAAGCTCAGGGTTCTAGCATTAATCTATTCCAGCGTCTAGCAGCTACCCTAAAGGAGCATTCTTCAACAGTCTGCGCCAGAGAAGATAAGGGTTCTAGGATTCATCTATACCAGCTGTTGAGTAGCTCCCCAACAGAAATCAACTCCACAATTTAATTACGCCCCCATATATTCCATAATAAGTTTTAAATAAACATTTTAAACCCCTCCATATATCATTTAATTAGAATAATTAACATATTTGCTTTTTAGAGCGCTTCGGGTCCCCTTCATGTAAATAATTTAAATTTGTAACTGTTGCTTTTAATAATTTTAAAATATTGGCGGATGTTTCTTTCCGAATTGACGCATTCAAAAAGAAAAATCCCACTATTTTTTTCTCTCCAATTTTGATGGTCCATAATTTTTCCCTGGGTCTTGTGAGGTCCCAGACAAAATTTGGTACCCTACGGTTCAGCCGTTTTGACTTGTATTGTATACAAACGGACAGACAAACAAACAGACACCCAGACAAGCAAAGTATACATATATACATATATATCTGTAGATCAGTGTCCAAGTTTCCTCTCGAAGCTGAAAACCAATTTGGCAGTGCGAGTAAGTTGGAACTAATTATACAATGTAATTGACTAGTCTAGTAGATTTAACCAGCATACTCTATAACTTTCTTTTTTTCCCCGCCAAATTCAAATTTAGTTTTTTAAACGTTGATTGAACACATTTTACAATTAACTTTAAATCCACACATTATTCCATCAGAAAACAATTATTTTTTTTATAACTTTATATATCAATTTTCATGCTTGAATGTTAAAGGGAGTGTTCGCGAAAAATGAAAGGGGGTATAGGCTTAATGCGATAAAAAAGCGCTTTTGATCAATACAAATTGAGGAAGTTGGAACATACGACTTAGACCGTAAAAAAAATCAAATTAATATCAAACAAATCATTCAGATATTACAACCTATAGTCATCGATTATCTTTCGCCACATTTGTATATATTTAATATTTCATACTAGTTTTGATTTTGTTTTTTAAAATAATATATAGCTTACAACTTGTTTTCGAACATTCCTGGAAAATATGAAAATGTCGTCTTCATTACCAAAAATCCTCGAAACAGGAATAAACGTTTTTATAAGTAACTCTCAGATCATAACAATTAAAACATATTATGAAAAATCAACTATATACAAATGTGGCGAAAGATAATCGATGACTATAGGTTGTAATCTCTGAATGATTTGTTTGAAATTAAATTGATTTTTTTACGGTATAAGTCGTATGTTGCAATTTTCTCAATTTGTATGGACGCCATGTTATTCGGTATGAGACGTCTTTAACAATTTTCTCTTTACTGACGCAACAGATAGAAGTAAGATTAGTGGCGATCAAAAGCGCTTTTTTATCGCATTAAGCCTATACCCCCTTTCATTTTTCGCGAACACTCCCTTTAAATACCAGGGCCTGGTTTTGCTTTCAGGGCACTTCATATACATTGTAAAAAAAAGTTTGAGAATCTAAATAAAAAGATTTTTGGATTTTCAAAATTTAATAAAATCGAATTTTGTTGGAGGGTAGTTTTTGAAATGTTGCATTCACAAACCTTCCCTGGGGACGGGGTCATGTGAATGTAATGTCCCACACAAAATTTTGGGCCAGATCGGTTTGGCCTTTTTTACGTTTATTGGATATAAATTTTTTTTTTTAAATACAAGAAAAGTATTTACAGATTTAATTTTTAATATGTTGCCCGCTTGTTTACCAACTCACTCTTTTACAAGTTAAATTATATTATACTAACAAATTTCACAAATTTTTGTTCCATTTACAAATAAATCAGTTATGAGAAGGTAAGGTAAGGTATGAAGCTTTAAAACAAGGGTTAAA